GGTGGATAGAGGACATAGCAAAGGAACAGTGTCAGGATGAAAAATGGAGGTCTTATGTACACCTGGGCTTATGGCGTATTCTAATATATGCGATGACCACTTAAAAAAAACCTGAAAATAGGTACACCTTTCGGAAACCTCTGCTATTTATCGCACAACACAATGCATGGCATATGCATGTCTTCAATAGCCTGGTTGTTTCAGATACTTCCTTGCATCTGTTAAATTATTATAGTTTAAATACAAATGATCCTTAAAGTAGATGGGGTTTGCAATGGGAGGGAGAAGAGATATAATTTATTCTTACCTGGAATAATGCAATGGTGGAGGAGGGGAAGAGAACAGTACATTGATATAAATTAAATTTTACCTGGAATACTGTTAATAATATGATGGAGGGGGAGGAGAGGACAGCACAAAGATATAAATAGATTTTACCTGGAATACTGTTTACAATGTGATGGGCGGGGGAGGAAGAGAACAATACAAAGATACAAATAATTTTACCTGGAATACTGTTAATAATGCGATGGGGAATGTATCAAAATGACTGGAAGGACGTCCCTCTTCAAAATTCATTCTAGAATAAACAAATACATAATGTGCAGTAATATTGTATCATTTGAAATTAGGGAGTTCATAGCATGGCTTTCATTTTAGTAATATTTGACAGTCTTGAACGATTGGCTGAAGAACTGAAGGTCAATTGAATTTATACTGTGAAAACATTAAATTTTAAAAATTTGGGTAATCCTTAAAATCATCATATTTTTTGTAAAAAATAACTTACAAAATACAAAGAAACACAATACATCAACTCCTTCGTGAAAAACAGGCAGTGCCTTTCTAAAACAGGCAGTGGGAAGAAATAAAATTTTGACCTTACAATATTAATCAATGTTTGTGAATCAACACTTATTTTTAATATCACTGACCGTGTTCTAATAAATTGATCGTGTTTCAATAAATTGACCGTGTTCTAATAAATTGAAAATACTTACTCTCCTCCGAAGAGCTGCATTCCTAATAAGGCAAAGATAAGTATAAAGAGAAAGAGGAGGAATAAGAGACTGACAATGGAACGCATACTGTTTAGCAGCGAGATGACAAGATTACGTAGAGATGACCAGTATCTGAAAAATACAAATTTTAAGAATATAATATCAATATGATACAAATTTTATGAATATACTATCACAAAAATACTAATTTTAAGTATATATATAAGAATACACTACCACAAAAATACTAATTTTAAGTATATAGTATCACAAAAATACTAATTTTAAGAATATACTATCACAAAAATACTAAATTTAAGTATATAGTATCACACAAATTTAAGAATATAGAATCACAAATTTTAAGAATATACATGTAGTATCACAAATTTAAGAATATAGTATATCACAAATATTAAGAATATAGTATATCATAAATATTAAGAATATTGTATCACAAAGATACAAATTTCAAGAATATACTATTACAAAGATGCAAATTTTAAGAATATAGTATCACAAAAAATACAAATTTGATGAATATCTAGGGTTCCCTTTAGTGATTTTTATCCCAAGTACCACAAACCACCTATGTCACATGAATAGCTGTGGATTATTTAAGGATCAACAACTACCAATTACTGTATCTTAATCGGAGCTATGTTTCTACAATGATTCTCATGTTATTTTCAATCATAACAAGGGTCGGAATAAACTTCGCCCCCAGTCCAACAAAACAGAAGAATTCTATATTTCCCTTTTGTTATGTATATACATATGCATCTAAAATACAGATGCGACATTATCCTTTGATGTTGGCATACCATTATTTCAAGCAATAGTATAACTATTTATAGAAGATGATGGTCTCTTGATATAACACTCAGTGTAACATCCTCGTACAGCATCAATATATTACTTAATGTCTCGCTCTTGTCCTTTAGATTAAAAGTAAACTTACTTGGTAACTTTGAATATTCTAAGTAAACGTAGAGCTCTGAGTACACTAATACCAAATGATGCGTTTTTAAACGTAGACCAGATGACTTCAACTATACTACCAACAATCACCTACAGAAGAAAACAGTTTATAAACTAAAGTTTCATCAATTGAAGAAATTTATTAAAAAGAAGGAGAAAAAAGACAAAAAGTTCTATAGAGGCTCCCAGGATGTGTGTTAAGGACTCCTCCTTGTTTCAAAATGACAGACGAGCCACTGTGGCTCGGTAAATATCGCACTTGCTCATTTCGATTCTATTGGTTTTCTCTTGTCAGTGGTGCGCTTACGGAGAGCCTGACAAATGAAAAGCATCTAATCCTATGAAAAAGACAAAAAATTGCCTGATATACCAGATCTTTATACTTACAACACAGTCAAAGATATTAAATGAAGATTGGAAGTAGATTCGCGGACCAAGTCCGTACATTTTCACCATCATTTCAATTATAAATAATCCCAGAAATACAAATTCTGCTATAACTAGAAGATAAAACAAAAATATGGCATATTATACAAATTGGAATGATTAAATTATAAAGGGAGAGAGACAGAAATGGGATTTAACGTCCACTCGACAGAAATTAGGTCATTTCGGGACTTACATATGGCTCAAATTTATTTCAGTAATTCGCTTGCATATAGGGGTCTTTAGCAGTGGGAGGAAACCGGAGGACCTGAAAAAAAACCCAGGAGGTTGGACAGGCGACCCTACTCCTTGACATGTGCAACCGGGTAATCGAAACCACGCCAGCTGACAGACCTTATGATACAGCGCTCATGCACTAACCATTCGGCCATCCAACCCCTCTAAATTATAAAGAGCAGGCCACATAATAATCAATCATTTTTTACAGGGTTGGATTTTAGCATTAGTATGTTGGGCCGAGACAAATAACTTTTCTAACAGACTAACAATACCCCTAAAACATCAGTCATACAGTCTTATAAATTTTCCTTGAAAAAAATGTTCGATACTGTTTTTCTATAAATTAGTTTTCAAATTCCACTGGTTATATAAAAAATTAAGAAAAAAATACAAGGAGAACATTGTATTTGTTATTTCACATTATGTTAAATCGCAGACAAATGAATTCTGCTAAGAACTGATCAAGTCTTATATTCTCTAATTAGTTCTCTGGAGTAGTACCGAAAAAGTAAGTTTCAAGCCATGCTATATCTGTGTAGCGAAATTAATTCAGTTTGATTATCTCCCCTTGTTGGGAAAATTAATTTCAAGCCGTTTGGAAATTTACACACGCCGAGATAGACACCACGTAGGACTAGCACCGAAAAATTTAGTTTCGAGCCATGTGTAGAGAAATTAATTCAGTTTGATTATCTCCCCTTGTTGTAAGTTAGATTGTTGGGAGGAGTCTATTTTCAGGCTGTTTGGGAATTCCCACACACTGAGTTACACACCACGAAAGCCAAGTCACACCAATCCTGATATATCTTGATCTCCGCAACCAACCTGACCTCACCAGGGGGGCTGGGATGGCCCAGTGTTGCGCTTTGACCTCTAGCTGTCCGGTTACCTCTGGCTTGCGGTTGTGGTTTCGATCCCAGGTGTGAGCGTATGTGGCTTGGAGACAGGGGCGCCTTCTCAACCTCGTGGGTTTACTCAGGGTACTCCAGTTTCCTCCCAAAGGAAAGATCCCTGTGCTGAGATAATAGAAATAAGACAACTTGTCTGCAACATCACCTTCGATGGAAGTGGATGTTAAACACTAACAGAAGATGAAAAAGAAGACCTCACCAACCAGCCTAAAAATAGACATTGCCTGGATTCTTGTGATGCACATTAATTAGCAGTAAATCAGAATTTAACTTACATAAAAATTCTTCATGCCAAGCTGGTTGACCGTAATGTTCTGATGCTACACATGCTGTATTTAAAGCCACTAAAACAATGACAAACCAATAAAATCCCTGGGTTTTTATCATGTGACGTATTTTATACCTGAAACAACAAATGAAATGAAATGGGGTTTAACGTCCTACTGTTTTGCTTCGAACTGGGCTAATAAAGACGGGCATACGCCATACAGTATGCTACGAGGGAAATTTGGCCCGGACAGCGGCACTGCGGCCCACTCTTATATCGAATTCCAACTGTCAAGGGATCCTTTATGTGCACGCTAATGTGTACACAGGATCTCGTTTTTTTGTGCCATCCGAATGACTAGACAGCTGTCCTTGTCAATACCTGAAACAAGATGGTGATAAAATGATGTAACGGGATTTAACACAACAAATACTTCAGTTATTTTGAGACTAGCATATGGTATCTTTCATATATATAATTTGTGAGTAATATGAGCAGAGAGTTTTGCCTGAACAGTGGCATATCCACATTATTTAGAACTATTATAGTATTTTTGGAGAAAATTTGTTTGTAATATGAGCGGGGGGTTTTGATTGAACAGTGACATATCAACATAATTATGATTTATTATAGATTTGTGGGGGGGTGGGAAATTTTATAATATTATTAATATTCCCTTAATGAATGCTTACTTTTTTTTTGCACATATTTACAAAGGATCTTATGGAAGGATTCCGTGTCAAATTTTGAAATTCATACATATGAGTATTTCACTTACCTCTGCCGATAAAATTTAAAATCGAAAGTTGTAAGGGGAAAATCTCAAAATGTATATAATAGTGTACAGATTGGGATGAATATTCATAAATGTAAAAGAGAGACAGAGAGAGAAATGGGTTTTAAATTCCACTCAACACAAACTAGGTCATTTCGGGACTAACACATGGTTTAATTTTATTTCAATACTTCACTTGCGCGCAGGGGTCTTTAGCAGTGAGAAGAAACCGGAGGATCCGGAGAAAACCCACAAGGTTAGACAGGGGCTCCCCCTTCTTGTCACGTACAACCGGGGAATCGAAACCACTCCAGTTGATTCAATGACAGACCTTATGATACAGCGTGCACGTGCTAACCATTCAGTCATCCAACCCCACTATATGTAAATGAAGATTATTACCATTCACAACAATTTTGTTCTTGATATACTAACCTCACTCGTTTTTCGGCTTTCCAGAATGCACCACATTTACCAGTTGTCCTCTTACTACTAGTTTTATTTCTAACAAATGTATTTCCTGAGGGAAAACAAATAAAAAAATTGTTATTAAAATTTGTCGTGTATGTCTTTATCAATAAGTGAATCAATTCGTATGTGTATAAAGCTGAGAATGTAATCAGTTATTTGTAATGGAGGCTTAATTAACTTATCCAGACCATAATCAACTCTCGATGCCATCGATAGCCTACAATATTTAGCAGATTGGAATACATTTCTTGAAAAATAATTAAACGTAAAAATGGATAAGCGAGACTTTGTTTTCTATCGGGCCGACTTTAGTAATGATTGAGGCTAGCCTAAAATTCAAAAGCTAATATCTCGGTTCAGAGTGGAGCAATTTGACTGTAATTTTCAGCATATTCTATTGACGTTATCTATCTTTTAACTGTTATAGTGAGAACTGTCAACACTTTATCTAATCTCCCTAATGCCCCTTTAACCATTTAGCACATGGAATGACCAGAACTACTGCTATTTATTCGCTGAGAAGTACGAAAGGTGAGAATTGTACGTTTACCTCATAAAAATCTAAGTCCCTAGGTAAACTTTTTTAATCTATGCATATTTCATTTGTTGATAAATACTATGTGTTTATACCATTGTCAGGCTGCAGTTATTTATATTTCTTGTCTTTTTGTGGGTTTCATTTGTTCACATATTATTGTAGTACCACTGAACTATAAATGTACATGCATGGAGATCGTGTTTTTCTGCGATGTGGCATAGTTTTATGGAAAGGACTTCCCATTGACATCAAAAGATACGAAACATTGAACACGGAAATGAAACGAAATGGGGTTTAATGTCCTTCTGTTCTGCTCCGAACTGGGCTAATGAAGACAGGCATACGCCATACAGTGTGCTATGATGGAAATTTTGCCCGGACAGCGGCGCTAAACATTAACACATTTAAGTCACAGCTAAAGACATTAATCTTCAAGCAAATATATGTCTAGCACTCTTGAGCAGTTTACTACAAAGAACTGCGCTCTACAAATTCATAATTTATTATATTATTATTATTATGTCTTAAAATCGCAACATTCGACTTCCCCTTTAGAGCATATAAACAAGCATGTGTCGCTATAAGCGCCTGATAATCAAAATCTGACGGAATCAAAGATTATCCACCACTGATATTGTTGTTTTGGTTCGGGAGCCATGGTGGCTAGGTGGTTAAGACACTGGCTCGCTAGCCTGGAGGTCGGGTGTTTGATCCCTGCATTGGCCGAGAAAGTACATCCAGATTTTCCGACGTGGTTTCCCCTTGTCAGTGGTGCAGAATGGAGGGCCTGACAAGGACAGTTGTCTAGTCCTTCGGATGAGACGGAAAATCGAGGTCCCGTGTATATATTGGAATGCACGTAAAAGATCCCCTGGCAGTTGGAATTCGATATAAGAGTAGGCGATAGTGCCGCTGCCAGGGCAAAATTTCCCTCATAGCACACTGTATGGCGTATGCCCGTCTTCATTAGCCCAGTATAGGAGCAGAACAGTAGGACGTTAAACCCCATTTCATTTCATTTTGTTGTTTTGGTTCCTTAATCAAATTTTAATTAATCAATTTAAGTAGATTTTAGGGTCGAATTAGGCTGTAAAAAATTAGATATTGTCAGAATAATACACTATCTGGATAAAAGACTTCAAGTAGTAAAGCAGCTCTCCAGATTTAATAAAATCTAAATATTAATTGTATTGTGTATAAGCATAATCTACCTATAGTATTATATTTAAATATTATATTTAATAAAATCTAAATATTGTATTGTGAAGTATAATCTACGTATAGTATTATGTATTGTTTAATGGTTGAGAGCGAGACATTAAAGATGGGTTCCCAGAAAAGTATTTATCGGGTGGTTATTTCCAATAAAAGTATGGCAATTTTGGTATATATAGAAAGTAGAGATATCCAATCTCACTAGAAAAATACTGGATTCCCCGAAAAACACTCATGGAGCGTATACAGGACAAAAATGTAAGGGTTCCCCTAATCGACAGCCCGACGATTAGGAATTTCTGCACACGTGATGTCAAAGGTCACACGCGAACATTGAGCGCTTGATGTACAAGTTGATAAACTTTATGAAGAGTTAGACGTACAACACTGACTGAGATAAAAATGACGGAAAAAGACGCGGGTAGTGGATAATCTGAGAATTTAATTAGGATTCGATATTTGTAATAAATAGTAAGCGATTAAAGACAACATCGTCTTATGTATGCAATGGATTCTACTCTGACTTCCAAGGGAGGTAAGTCACTTGACGTAAATATGACCTTGTTTGATCAAATTTTTATAGCAGGGCATTCCTTTGCAATTAGAATGTTTGAGAAGGATTTGAAGCAAAATTATGACAAATTAATTAGTCTGAATATGTTTTTAGTCCATATATACCCTTAAATCACCCAGTTTGTACGCGGGAATGTATCTTTAAGTAATATATTGTAACCACAAGAGGGCTGTAGGCCCGAGTGTTTTTACAATATATTACGCAATGTCTTAAGCTCGAGACCATTAAACGACTTAAAATACAGACACTCCACACATGCTTTTACAGTGAAATACGTCACATGAGTCCAATATTTCACTAGTATAAATAATGTACAATTGGCAAGTTGCCTGTATGATGATTTGAAATAATGGTACGCCAACATAAAAGGGTGACATCACATCTGTATTTTAAATTTCAATATTGTATTATGTATATTTACCTATAGTATTATATTTTCCTATTGTTACACCTGATAATAGATCATCCTCCATAGGCTCGTTATTATCGTCATCCGTTTCTTCACCTTTTAACTGTTTCATTTTTCTAGCCGCTGCTCTCCGTCGAGCTGACAAAATATAAAATGAAACTAGTGAAAGCTTCTACCTAGTAAACTTAATCTTCCAGAACCACGTTAAAGATGAATTATATAGAACTAAATGTGCCAATTGCAGATCTTGATTTTGGCTTCAAATGACAAGCCTATAATCAACTCTAACGATATGATGGATAATTTAGACTTGGCATTGGTTTTCGAGCAACATTTTGCTACATCTTAAAACAGTCATAAATTCACCGAGAATAAAGTAATTTGAATGATATTTTCAATATATTCATTTTTCGTTCTATATTTTTGATCTATTATAGCATCTTTGAATAAAATATGTCCAAAATTATAAAATGAAAGCAGTTATACCACAAACATGGGTCAAGACATTTGTGGCTATAGCAAAACATTCTACAATTTTGGCAAAAAATAAGGATAAAAAAATACCTTCTATAATTTTATATTTTTCTTCTTCTGTTGTTCGATCTTCGGTTAAAATGACTTCTTCTGCTTTACAGATCCACTCTAAGTAACCGTTTAACTCTCGTTCTATTTGTTGCTGACGGCGTAATTTAAAAAAAGCTCGTCTATTTTCTACTCGCTCTCTTTCTTTGGCAAATTCACTGAAATTTGAAGGGAAGATATTGTACACAAAACGGAATGGACTTGGGTTTAATGTTTTCGTCAACATTTGGTTATTTTGAGACAAATATTAGGCGAATTTTATTTCTATAGCTATACGTCACGCAGGGTGGGGTGCTAGGTAGAAGAATTCCACCTAAGAAGAATTTTTTGTCCTATTCGAAAAACTATGCACCCTTTCATATCAAATCTTTGTTCTAAATTATATACAATTGGTTATTTTAAGACAAATGTATGGTGAATTTTATTTCTATAGCTATACGTCACGCAGGGTGGGGAGCTAGGTAGAAGAATTCCACCCAAATTAAATCTTTGTTGTAAATTATATACAATGTGTAGCAGCATCATGGTATGCGAAATATATATAGGCAAACAAGTAATTAAATCTAACTTACCCACTGAGAACACCAAGAACTAGATTTAACATGAAAAACGAGCCCAAAACAATAAGAGGTATAAAATATAAAAAATTAAAAATGTTTCCTAAGGCGTCATTTGCCTGAAAAAGAAAGAAAATCAGCAACATAATAAAAATCATATCAATAATAGAAAATAAATTTATAAAAAAACTTTTGGAATAAACAAATTTGAATATTTGGCTAGCATTATTTCATAGTCTTGTAATGAAATTTGGAATTTTACTTTGAGGTGGATGTTCAACATAAAGTTCTGAATGACTAATCTTACCTCAACCCCCTTGTCTATATAGTATCCCTTTATATATTGTTATGACAAGTAACAATGTTACAAACCAACCAAAGGCATCCTAGTTAGCAAAATTATGGACACCAGCACTTCAATCTAACTGATCGATTGTCAAACCTCTGTACAACCCGGGTAAGCATGCTACCGATCCCAGTAACACATTCCCAAACCCCGTCAAGAGGCCAACCTCGGTAATCCCGCCAATTAGTAACCATGGAAAACCCACCTGGGTTTTGGAATAGTATAAATAAAAATGCCCGCTATATGAGTCCAATCTGAACGAAACTAGTCACTGACATCCAGGATAACCTGGTCGTCATAGTCACTGTTATCTCTTACAATTCTTTAATGTATACACATCATGATCTATACTAGTATTTGTGACTGTCATATGTCTGTCCATCTGCTGTCCCGAGGCTGAAATTTGGTGTATATGGGTAAAGTGGACCGGGTAGTAACATAGGGCTGGTGGCTATAGCCTACCACTTCCAGGGCCATTTTTGGACCCCAGACGAACCCGGGCATGCTTTTATAAATATTATAATGTATGGTTTACACTTACATAATACAATACTGTTGTCCATCCTTCCATTGTTATACACTGAAACACGGTTAACATAGCGAAACCTATATTATCAAAACTAGTAATACCATCGTTAGGACCCTTCCATCCGTCCCGACACTCGGAGACGTTATGTTGACATCTAAAACCACCGTATGAACTAATATAATAGTCTGTAGCACACGGTCTTATACTTTCTTCATCTCCTAGATCTATGTCATCTATAATATATAAAATATCAAACATTGTTAATATCAAACATTGTTAATATCAAACAATGTTTGAAACCTCATTAATATCAAACATTGTTACTATCAAACATTATTACTATCAAACATTATTACTATCAAACATTCAAACATTGTTAATATCAAACATTCAAACATTGTTAATATCAAACAATGTTTGAAACCTCATTAATATCAAACATTGTTAATATCAAACCTTGGTTATATCAAACATTGTCAGAGTGAGAAATGCCATTTTGAGACAAGCATGTTTAGATCTATGTCATCTAGAATATATATATTCACAAAGTATTCTCAGACCTCAGTTAAGAATTTACTCAACTTTCAATCACTGTTTAGGAGAAATATCTTTGATCCAGAAAAGCAAAACTTTGCACATAGTTTCTTATTGATGTATTGGATACATTAAAACAACAAAAGTTTGATAAAGGGCTATATTTTAGTTAGAATAAGGTGAACAATTTTGAGTAAATTCTTAACCTAAGTCTGAGAATACTTTGTGAATTCGGGGCCAGATCCACACATGAGGGCTCAGTGAAATATTTTGATGTAAACCTCACATCTTGCTTATTGTTATCCATTTCAGTTACAGGTAGCCACATAACTTGAGTTATCGTATATTCCATCAAATGAATGCCCTACAAACTGTCAATCCCACACCTCATAATTACACATCACTGGTCTCGATCCAGCGTAACACACATTTTAAAACATACAGATATCACAAGGTAAGCCATGTGTTATAATAGATGGAGAGGAGAAAGGAAATGAGTAGTCACGCTTGAATGGTCATGACAGTATACAATGTAGATTCAGTAATATGTGTATATAAACATTAATATATACTCAGGGGCGGATCTAGAAATTTTGAAAAGGGGGGTGGGCTGCAAAATGAAGGCATTGACTGCGGAGACGGGGCCACCGCTGTGGGAGGGGGGGCCAAGAAAATTATCCGTCATTTCCTTGCATCTGTAGCCATTCCAAGAGCTATTTCCCAGACTGGTGTGTTTGAGTCGATGGTTTGAGTCATTTGGGATCCCTACAACGGGTTGGGAACAGACATATTTGAGTCTGAGAAAAGACACTTTCAGCAGTAAAAAAGGGCACTGTCGAAAATTAGGGGGGTGCGCGCCCCTCGCGCCCCCCATTGAATCCGCCTCTGATACTCATATTGACCAGGTATCTTGAGAGAGAGAAGGGGGTGGTTAACGTCCACGTGACACAAACTAGGTCATTTTAGGACTAACATATGGTTCAATTTAATTTCAATAATTTGCATGCACATAGGGTTCTGTAGCAGTGGAAGGAAACCGGACCACCCGGAGAAAACCCACGATGTCGGACAGAGGACTCTACTCCTTGTCATGTACAACCTTGGAATCGAAACCACACCTAGTTGACTCAATGACAGACTTTATGATACAACGCGCATGCGCTAACCATTCAGCCATCCAACCCCACACACCACACACAAACCAAACAAGATTTTTCTTAGTTCAGTGTCTGTGCTATTATAAGATTTCTGACTTACCTTCACTTTGAGAATATTTGGTTCCCTTTTTGAAACAAGCGTTGTGGAAAGCACCAGCGTAGAATTCTAAGCCAATAATAGCAAATATAATGATGGCGAATAATACGAGTAGACATACTTGTAATAAAGGGGCCATAGCCCTTATAATGGACTTCAAGACAACCTGTAGACCTATATTAGAAAAAAAACCATAATTATTACAAATCTTGAAATTCTAATGAAAGGGTATCTAGGTTTTACAGTAATTTTGACATGTTAATTTAATCTAAAGAATGTTTAAATAATCAAAACAAATTATTTCAAATCTTCAAAATAAATTATAGCGAAAAAGATACCTTTATGCTTTTCAGTAATATCAACATTTCATTTAAGGTAAATCTAATGAATTATACATGTTATCAAAAGAATAATGAGGTATATGAGAGTATACAAATTTATCGTTAATTAAAATACAGATCCAACCATCTTATTCAAGATTTGGTCAGATTTTCATGTTGTTGTTTGTAGAGTTTACAGTTTGCTTCCATCCAATTTTTGAATATCCTGAATTTCCTGTGGGAGGAAACCGGAGTACCCAGAGTATACCCATGAAGTTGAGATGGCGTACCTATCTCCAAGCCACATACACTCACACCAAAGATCGAAACCAAAAGCCAGGGTTGACAAGCTTCTAGAACTCGAAGCAATACACTCTAGACCACCACAACCCCGACCCAATATCACATCACACTATTCAGTTTAAATATGCCCACTTTAATTGGTGATAACTCTCTCTTATTGGTCAGAATATTGTAAGTGGTAAACGAAACAATGAAAATCTGATCAAACCATTATTAATTCCTGAATTCCAAGATGGGGGATTTCGGAAATGTTGGACATTTATCATAATTTCTAAGTATACATAAATATCAAATTACTATAGTTTAAATTCTATATCACCATGCACTATGAGTGGAATTAAATTTTGATTAGACCAATAATGTTTTCAATTTAAATCCAATTTATTTTCACCATCAACCAAGTTGGATTTAGTATTTATCGTTAATATTTTATTTATATAAATATATCATTAACACCAATAGGATCATAATAAATGAAGAGCTCTTTTAAACAATACAAACGCCACCAAAACTATGGAAGCCTCTTCTCGACAACACAATATTCTGGTCATTTTGAGACAAACATATGATATGTTTCATTCCAATGGTTACGCACAATGCGAAGAGTGGGAATCTTGCCCGAATGGCAGTGCTTAAATATACATCAACATGTACACATGACCATGGTTTTCCACAGCAACTGGGCACACTATTATGTCAGGTACGCCACACCCCTGACAAGATTGAACCTAGGATGTTTGCATAGTCGAGAGCACCTGACTGCTCAACCACCAGAACTCCCACATCTTGCGCAACACATTATCATACATTATCAAAAAAAACCCAAAACACACGCTACTTAAAGTTCATCAGGATTTTCACTCCACTTAAGCATTACTCGTGTTTGCCCAAAAATGCCTCACTGTCAAGTACGTGTCAGACTCGATCCCGGTGTTGATCATCGATACCTCGCTAAAAAGGATGTGTCAGACTCGATTCCGATATTGATCGTCAATCGAGAAAGTTCATCATGATTTTCCAGCCTGGTTTCACTATGTAATAGCACACATCATGGTGGATACCTGTCTTCATTGGTCTGTCTGGTGCAGACATTAAGCTCTATTTCATTTCATTTGAATAACGAAATAGTATTTACCCTACTTTAAAACACACAACCTAAACATTAATTTAAAATTAATGCTGTCTGTTTTTCCTAAAAAATGAAATGAAATGAAATGGGGTTTAACGTCCTACTGTTCTGCTCCTATACTGGGCTAATGAAGACGGGCATACGCCATACAGTGTGCTATGAGGGAAATTTTGCCCGGGCAGCAGCACTACGGCCTACTCTTATATCGAATTCCAACTGCCAAGGGATCTTTTACGTGCATGCCAATGTGTACACGGGACCTCGGTTTTTCATCCCATCCGAACGACTAGACAGCTGTCATTGTTAGCCCCTCCATCCTGCATCACTGACAAGGGGAAAACCTCGCCGGAAAATCTGAAGGAATTTTTTCCTAAAAGAGCTCTTCAAATATATACAAATATGAAATATAATAGTTATGAAAAATGAAAATGAAAGAATATAATAAAAAAGGGGAACCTACTTGGTATGCCCGAGACTAATTTTAACGGTCGTAAAACTCGGACAGCTCTTAACGTTCTCAAATCAAATGAGGAAGACGCAGTGGAAGTTGTAACAATGGTTATAAACCTATGGGGAAAGGAAATTAAAAAAAAAACATCACCAGGAAACCCAATTCAAAATAAAGCAAATCCAGGGTTGCATCAATGGGAAAACTCAATTAAAACCAGCATATATGTTTGACTTGCAGTGGTGGAATTTTGTGAAGATTTATAAAAATTGAAATTGAAAATCAATTTTAAATTTGGTGTATGGTATGCAAGGGTTAAATACCCTATATACACTGTAACCCAGGTATCATTTAATCTTGTGTATCTGGCACTAATTTCTTTCACATTAATTTAATATGAAATCTTTGTTTAAAAATTCATAAAAATCATTTAAAATCATCTAATTTGTACTCTTGTTCAGTTTAAAGCTGACCATTCAATTTTGATAATGGGTGTCCAATTTACAAGCGTTTAATTTCTCGATTTGATATTAAAGGAATGTGAAAGAAATTAGTGCTAGATACACCAAGATTAAATGATACCCGAGTTACAGTGATGCAAACAAAAAGATATGCTGATTAAGTTAAAACCATTCACCATTGGGGTTTGACTGTTGCCATCACAATTGCTAAGTTGTTAAGCTATGAAATTTAATATCCAGCTTAAAAAGATTAGGGAAATCCAGGGAACTTTACATAAAAAAACCAAAAACATTAAGCACTTTTCAAGACAATAGGCTCATATGAATGATAAGAATGATAAAATGTAGTATTTCATGTATCCATGACAATCTGTAACCATGACAACTACATATATGTGGATGGAATTCCCTTATGTCCATTCTACAACCACAGCAGCTAGGGATATGATAAGAATGATAAAATGTAGTATTTCTTGTAACCATGACAACTACATATATGCGGAGGGAATTCCCTTAAGTCCATTCTACAACCACAGCAGCTAGGGATATTATAATTCCCCTCATACTGTGAAGGGGAAGTAACTCTTACTCTGAACTCCTGTGACTAATTTTAATGGTCGTAAAACTCGTAATGAACGGATGGCGGCCTGGTCTAATGATGGATATAAGTAATCTAAGAACCTGTTGATATTAAAATATGTTCACTATTTATCATTATGTCATTCATTCATTTTCCATTTCTTTTATGCCAGTCCAGTCTGTATTTTTTTTTTTTGAAATAAAAATAACCATTCCCCAGTCCTAGGCAAAATCCGACCATATAAGGACTAAAGGTGTTAATCGTGTCATTAATAGATACTGGAAATAATTAATATCATTTCCCTCTCTACACAGAGGGAGAGAAATGGGGTTTAACATCCACTTAACACAAACTAGGTCATTTCGGGACTTACATACAGTTCAATTTTATTTCAATAATTCGCTTGCTCATAGGGGTCTTTAGCAGTGGGAGGAAACCGAAAGACACGGAGAAAACTCACAAGGTTGGACAGGCATCCCTAATCTTTATCGCGTACAATCGGGGAATCGAAACCTCGGCAGTTGACTCAATGACGGACCTTATGATATAACGTCATTGAGTCAACTGGCATGGTTTCGTTTCCCCGGTTGTACGTGACAAGGAGTAGGGTCGAATGTCCAACCTCGTGGGTTTTCTCCGGGTCCTCTGGTTTCCTCCCACTGCTAAAGACCCCAACGCTAAACCCCATTTCTCTATCTCTTAAATCATCCAAGCAATCACATTCAACCAAATACAAGCTTTCTCTCGACGTAACAAGACATTTATTAAAAGAAATATGTTTAAAGTTACAATTTCATATTTTCTAAGAAAATTATTTCTATGTCTTTTGCTCAATAAGTTGTCAACTCACTATTATACGATCATAGGTGTCGTTCTCACATTAAAAACTCATTTACACCGGAAATAATAACACAATATCCTCCCTTGTTTTCTATTCTGCACCATGGAGTAGCTATCCTCAAACGTTTGAATTTGAAGAGGAAAATGATATTTTTGCCAATTTCTCAGCTGGCAATAGTGAATTATAGGATTAATAGGATTATTCTTTAACAAGGTAGGACTGTTTATAGATACCATCTCTTTTAAGGCTTTATTTTAATAAATTTTAAAAATATAGCGTAAAAATATGAAATTGCAACTTTAAGCTTAATACCTACACCCATAAAAAAAATAATGTTAGGGTTGGCATTATCCTTGTGCAAAAGTAGGGGAGGGGGGAGGGAAGGGGATCACCCGGGAAACCAAATTGATTTGAAAAGCTGCCAACAAAATGCCATTTGCTAAAATGTCTTACTTTGCACTCCATTGATTAGTTTTAACGGCCGTAAGACCCGCAAAGATCTTACGGCCCCTTGGTCTAAGAAGGGCAAGATATAGCCGAGACACCTGCAGGGGTCACAGAAAGAAAAAAAAGGTTTTCAAAAATATTTCAAGAAAGAAGCCTTTACATTGGTTAAGAAATGAAACTTGTTCTAGGATTTTAACCCCCAACCAACGAAAAGACCACATCCTTAAAACATTTTAGTTTAAAGGAGCTAAATCGTTACTATTTTTGATCTAGAAATTGACACAAATGGGTCGCAACGTATATAATAATGTAATGTGAATGTATATAAACTGATTTACATTCAATCGTTTGTTTTTACTGCAATTTCTAATCAGTTATGTTCGGCGAAATACGCCAGAAGTCTCAATCCAATAGCAATCTCTAGTGTCTGGTTATTCCAGTCTATACCGATAGTATTTATTGCGCATGCTCTCCAGATAAGATTATGATGTCACCGTTTGACATGACTTGTGGAATATATCTAGCCTCCTTCTACGAGTCCCTTGTTAAAAATGGCGCTGAAATGCACCATGGTACACGATTCGTGTACCAACAGTAAAATGTTTATTTTGTCTTAATTATTGGATATCAGAAGCCCATCTTTTCCCCGTAAGATCACAACATCAATGTTGATTTAAACCGACAAATACTTCGTGTTTTCAATGTCGAAGATTTTGGATGATATTGAGTTAGAGACTTAGCTACTTTAAATTATTAAGAGAGTCCCGCAATGCAAATGATTTCTCTTAATCAGATCAACTGATTATCAATACTATGAAAAAAAAACCCCACATACATTCAAAATACGAACAGGCATAATAACTTCAATACTTTAAATTCAATGATATTCTAGCTAAAGCTGCTGATGGTTGCTTGATAAATTTTTTTTATCCCTAGCAGCTTTAAATTTCTTACAGAAACCAAGGAAATAAAATATTTCTCATTATCTATAATTATTTAGATACTTGAAAAAAATAAGAGAGCGAAAATACTCTGATAACTAGAAATTAATTTCAGCAGCTTTAAATTTTTAACAGAAACCAAGAAAAAAAAATATTTCTTGTTACATGTTTCTATATCTATTCTTAAAACATTTAGAACAAAAAAGCTCTGATAATCAGAAACTATTTTCAGCAGCCTTAAACTTTTAACAGAAACCAAGGAAAAAAAAATATTTCTTGTTGCATGTATCTATTTATATTCCTAAAACATTAAGAACAAAAAAGCTCTGATGATCTAAAATTATTGTTTTTAAAAAGTACTATACATACCCCGTAACTACTACTATAAAATCCATTATATTCCAGACGTTCCGTAAGTAGGAACCTTTATGCAATACAAAACCTAAAGCTAATATTTTTAAAGACGCTTCCACACAAAATATACCAAGAAAATATGCCTCTGTTGCTTCCTGTAAAATAAAAAAAAGTTTTCGTTATATCTCAGTTTTTATTCAAGTCTTTACCATACATTTCTCACAATTACAGCCCAGTAGGAACTGATTTTTAGAGGGGTGGGGTTGGGGGGTACGTCAGAGAGAGAGAGAGAAATGGGGTTTAATGTCCACTCGACACAAACTTATAGTTTAAATTTATTTTAATAATTCGCTTGCGCATAGGGGTCTTTCTAGCAGTGGGAGGAAACCGGAGGACCCGGAGAAAACCCAAATGGTCGGACAAGGGGTGTACGCCAATGAGCACTGGTGGACCTTGGTCTTTCATATCATCCGAAAAAGGCGTAACTTCTTTTAGTCAGGTCCTTGCACCCTTGACAAGGGGAATCCAGATTGGACCTTTCAGTTTTGGTGACTTTGATATTCATGACTAATTTGTAAGAGCATAAATCTCGGCATCAGCAGAGAAGAAATTGGGAATTTCTGAAATTTATGAAATCAGTGGTCGGCCTATTATCATTCAAATTCTAGTAAAACTACTTGGAGAATCATACATAAATTAAATGAACTTACCAGTTGTACTGCAAGAGGTGTTTTGTCGTGCGCTGGTAAATGTTCTTCTAAGGCTAAAACTATACAATTGGCAATGATGGTAAGGAGGACCATATACTCGAACGGCGTGAACGAAAGTTAAGGAAATTAATTTATTGAATTTTTTTTTTTTTTTTTGTTACACAAATCTGATACACAATTATGCCTAAATTCTTCCCCACTCTCACAACACATATTAAAATTTTCCCCAGACTCCTCACACAGTCATTTTTACAACAATATAAAATTTTCAGCCATTCTCACAAAATGCAACAAATTCTATGTCACACAAATAAAATTTGTGCTTGTCTGCGATATCACCTCGGTGGAAGCGGACGTAAAATACAACTAACTCATCATCAATAAAATTTGTCTGACAAGGCACTAAATTTCCATTCACTTTGACAAAATATAAAACTTTCATTCATTCCATAAAAAATATAAAATTCCATTCATTCCTACAAAATATAAAATTTCATTCATTCCAACAAAATATAAAATATCATTCATTCCTATATAATTCTCTGTCAATCGCACAAATTAGACATTTTTTAGTAATTCTCACAATATATATATGCTAAAAATTTTCTGTAATCCTCACTAGTATAACATTTCCAATCATTTTCTCAATTTTTTATTTGTTCAGTCACCTTTACCTTCACCGAGAGAGAGGGAGGGAGGGTTTAACATCTACTCCACACAAACCAGGTCATTTCAGGTCTAACATATGATTCAGTTTTTTTATTTCAATAATTTGCTTGCGCATAGGGGTCTTCAGCAGTGGGATGAAACTGGAAGACCCGGAGAAAACCCATGAGGTTGGACAGGCGTCCCTACTCCTTGTCCCATACAACCAGTGAATCAAAACCACGCCAACTGACTCAATAACAGACCTTCTGATACAATGTGTGCACACTAACCATTTGGCCATCCAACCACCCCCCCCCCCCCTCTCCAATTTACAATTTCAAGTCTCCAAATAACCTAAATGAGTGAATCCCAAGACAATACAGGTGTATGTAAAAATGATCATGTAGCAAAAAACATATCATTATTGTCCATTTTTATAGCGCACAACTTTCATGACTAATTAAGTGCTCGCGTGCGCTTTACAAAATATGGTAATGTATAATGTTTTTGTTTTAATAAACATACATGTAGAAGAGAAAAGAAATGGTGTTTTCAGTATTATTGGCCTAACCTCAGTCTAATGAAGACAGCAGGAGGTGAATAAGAAATGGCATGATAATGATTAACTCTCAGATTTCGTTCAAATTCCATATCAATTCTACTCTTTCTTTGCAATCTCACTGAAGCATTGGCATTTTCTGCTGGATTAATCAAGATGAAATAGTGAGTGGGCGTTAAATAATTACCATGTCTTCTCTTATAAATGGTAATCAAGGTCAAGGGACGATTAGGATATTGATGGAATCAAGAATGCCGAAGGAAAAGATACAAATCAATTTTGGGATCAAAGCAGACAGAATTTTTCCAGTCCAATGGGTGTATCTTTTGATCAGACAAAGTTTTGGCAACTCTTCTGGAGATTCTGATTTAATCAATCTGTTTCATCACTACATTGGAAAAATGTTGATCAGTTGATGATTGATTGGGTGGGGGAGGCCAGGAATTGGCAATGGATGTGTATAACATTATTTCATTATTTTTAACGTCTTACTTGCCTGCACCTACTGGTCTAATAAAGTCAGACGTACATGCAGTGTGCTATGAGAGGTCGGGGGGGGGGATGGCCGAGTGGTAAGTGCATGCACGTTGTATCATAAGGCCTGTCATTGAGTCAACTTGCATGGTTTCAATTCCCAGGTTGTACGTGACAAGGAGTAGGGTCATCTATCAAACCTCATGGGTTTTCTCCAGGTCCCCCGGTTTACTCCCACAAGCGAATTATTGAAATAAAATTGAACCATGTTAGTGTCAAGTGCATATTAAAGCCCATTTATTTTTCTCTCTCATTATGCCCATTCAGTGGAACTACAGCTATTCTATCCTTTGATTTCCATCTGCCTGGAGACTGTCAATGAGCTGCCAATGGTTTTTTGTACCATCCAAATGTCTAGATACTTTTTCTAGTGTCAATTCCCGTCCGTCCCTGGTTTCCATAATGCACACATCTTGTCAAAACTACAAACAGTGGTAACTTGACTCAGAAAACAGTAATTTGAATGAAATTTTCAATATTTTCATTTTACATTATCTATTATAGCAAGAACATGGTGTATCTTTAATTAATCATTTATCTATATCATTTATGTTGTGGGTTTGACCCCGCGGGTCAGCTTATATGCATGGGGCGCACTCTCAGTTTTTTGACCATAGCAAAGACCCCTGCACATGGGTTGATTTTACTAAAATAAAGGTTCATCTGTGATGTCACTAAGCGTGGAAGCGAACATTAAATCCCCAGTTGACCAATAACATCTACTCCCCTCATTCGTCTTCCCTGTGCAAGGTCATTTCGGTATATCTTCAATTCATTAAGTTTCTTGCTTTACGGCGTTCTGTCACCCAAGAAAAAAACGGCGATTACGGAATACATTCTCAATAACTTCCTTTCCACCAACACAAACGCACCCAAAAAGCCATCGCAATTTCCGCTTGTTTACAATTTTGACTAATTTTCATGCATGCAGTTATTGTACGTTGCACAATACTCGACTTGCACAATGTAATATAATAAATCTATTTTTATCAGACCGATGTTCTTGTAGCTTGATTAGCCAAGATTGTATAGCAAGCAGCTTGTGACGAACGCCAGGAAAAAAACCCCAAGAAAATGAAATGAAATGGTGAAAAAGACATGAGTAATTAGCTCAAGTTTTAGAAAGAATTCCAAGAAATGTATGTCCCTCGATGACTTAGAAGTGGATAATTGAGAATTTCAATTACTTTTTGCGTCTGTTTCAGAAAGCTGTAGTTGATTAGCTACATTCCCTTATTGACAGAAGTCTAAAAATAGTTGCTCATCAAAACTAAATACAATAACAGTTGGAATATTATATTCAGAAAATTGTTCCAGTGCATATTGACAGAAACTACTTGACCGTAAAGAGAGAAACAGGGTTTATTGTCCAGTGGAGAAACTTGGTATATTTTTATTTTCATCATTCTCTTTTGCAGTGAGAGGTGCCAGGCAACCCTGTAAGCTAATAGAAGCTATTTTCAATTTTGTGTCAGACACATATTAAAATCCTCAATCAAATCACAGAACAAAATCAAAGCTGTATTACAGGCACCAGAGGGATTTTGTCTGACAAAGTTTTTATATGTGCCTGAGATTGACTGTACTTCTGTTTAGCCCAATTAACTATGAAGGCCTTTTGGGGTTTGAGGGCCAAGGTGGCTCAATGAGTAAGACGTTGGCTCCCTGTGTTGGTGGTGCAGGATGGAGGTCTTGGCAAATGACAACATATAGTCATTCGGATGGGACAAAAAACCTAGGTCCTGTGTATACACTATAGTTATTTTATGAAATGGAGAGAGAGAGAGAAATGGGGTTTAACGTCCACTCGAAACAAACTAGGTCATTTCGGGACTAACATATGGTTTAATTTTATTTTAATAATTGGCTTGCGCATAGGGGTCTTTAGCAGTGGGAGGAAACCAGAGGACCCGGAGAAAACCCACGAGGTTGGACAGGTGACCCTACTCCTTGTCACGTACAACCGGGGATTCGAAACCACGCCAGTCGACTCAATGACAGCGCGCGCACGCTAACCATTCAGCCATCCAACCCCCCTTTTATGAAATGAGTATGTAACCTAAGCAGTTAACCATTAATAAAATATGATAAAGTCAAGTTTTCAGTCTTCATTCAATCAGGTTTAGGATCAATGGCTCGATGGTGTAAAGAATTTTTCTGAAATCTGTAGGGATGTCCAAACTATTGATATTTCATACTTTATTAGGTCAGCGTACATAGATAGGAATTATTGATGTATCAGGTTAATCCATTGATCATCAATATTCTATAAGCTACTAAATTAGATGAGATTGTTATCAAGTAGTAATGAGAGAGAGAAAGAGAGAGAGAGAGAGAGAGAGGAGGGGGTTAACATCCACTCGACACATACTAGGTCATTTTAGGATTAACATATGGTTCAATTTTATTTCAGTAATTTGCTTGCGTATAGGGGTCTTTAGCAGTGGGAAGAAACCGGAGGACCCGGAGAAAACCCACAAGGATGGACAGACCACCCTACTTCTTGCCACGTACAACCAGGGAATCGAAACCACGCCAGTTGACTCAACGACAGAGAGAGAGAGAAATGGGGTTTAACGTCAGAGAGAGAGAGAGTACAGTTTAGCATTAAGATGTCTGAAAAGAGGAAAATGACAATCTGTGATTTAGCTTTCAGAGAGAGAAATGGGGTTTAACATCCACTCGACACTAACAAGGTCACTTTGGGACTAACATATGGTTCTATTTGATTTCAATAATTCGCTTGCGCGTAGGGGTATGTTGCAGTGGGAGGGAACCAGAGGACCTGGAGAAAACCCATGTGGTTGGACAGGTGACCCTTCTCCTTGTTAGGTACAACCGGAAAATTTGAAACCACGCCAGTTGACTCAATGACAGACCTTATGATAGTACCCGCATGCGCTAACCATTCGGCCATCCAACCTTAAAGATACATTTTGGGAGTTGAGATAAAGAGCTGGCAGTTCTCATTATAATAGTAAAAAACTAGATAATGTAAAGGGAATTTGCTGAAAATTTCAGTCAAATTTATCCACACAGAACTGGTATTTTATAGATTGAATTCTCGGCCTAACCTTGATCATCATTACTGAAATCGGGATGATAAAAAACATAGTCTCGATTATCCATTTCATGATTAAATTATGAATGGAAGTCGAACAGCAAATCGGAACCTAATCCAATAAACATCACAAGCTAGCGATGCCATCGAGAGTTGATTATGGTCTGGATAAGTTAATTAATGTATAATTAATAATTTAGATAACATTTCAGGCCTAAATTTAAAGAAAGACCAGCAATAGGCAGATTTAGCTCTTGCATAATGTATGTTTAAATTGCACATATATTTTACTTTAAAT